AAAATGTCCTGTCCTTTAGAGACAGAAACCAAAGGACGCCAAGGCCCCAGCACAGGACAAAGTCCAGCATATTTGCACATTACAGAAATGCTTGCTTGCCGAGCATAATACCCAAAATGAAAGAGGTTTGCTCTTCTGTAGCTCCACCCTTGTTCTGACCCTTGGTCTGAAGCCAGTCCCACATCCTGAAGCGAGAGTGTTCAGTAAGTGTTGGAAACACAAATGAGGAAATTTTCTAAGTAAAAAATTTATAGCTGCTCCTTCCTTCCCTTTTCACCATCCTTTGTAAATGAACACTGCTCTCTGCTTAGCAAGAACACAGAGATCTTCTAATAAAAACAATTAGCGGGGCCAGTGCTGTGGTGTAATGAGAAAACCGCTGCCTGCAGCGCCAGCATCCCTTATGGGCACCAGTTAGAGTTCCAGCTGCTCCACTTCTAATCCAGCTCTCTGCTACGGCCTGGGAAAGCGGTAGAAGATGGCCCAAGTGCTTGGGCCCCTGCACCCGCGTGGGAGACCAGCTCTCTGCTATGGCCTGGGAAAGCGGTAGAAGATGGCCCAAGTGCTTGGGCCCCTGCACCCGCGTGGGAGACCTGGAAGAAGCACCTGGCTCCTGGTTACAGCCATTTGGGGAGTGAACCAGCAGATGGAAGACTTTCTCTCTCTCTCTCTCTCTCTCTCTCTCTCTCTGCCTCTCTGTAACTCTGCCTTTTAAATAAATAAATAAATAAATATTTAAAGAAATTAGCTCCAACTCTTCCTGGCTTTGAGAATGAGGCAAGTGTGTCCTCCATGTCCTCATAGATTTGTCTTGAGAACTCAATACACAATATGGTGGTTATGACAAAAGCATACGCTCTCCTTGTATGTTAGGAATGCTAATAGTGCTTTACCTGCATTGATCACTTAACACACACAACAACTATGAGTTATATTTTACTCTTTTCACTCCCACTTTTCAGGTGAGGAAACCAGTGCCTGGAGAAGGTACTCAAATTACCCAAGGTGACCCAGCAGAGTCAAATCCAGAAAGTATAGACTTCTCAGCCTGTGCTCTCTTCCCCCTAAATTCGGGGTTGGTGAATGGTGGCCCATGAGCCAAAGCCAGTCTATCAATTGGTTTTGTAAATGAACTTCACTGAAAATGTTCACATCTATTGATTTACACAGTAACTACGGCTACTTTCCTAGTTTAACGGCAGGGTTCTGTTGCTGCAGCAGGCATTGCTTGGCCAAGAAAGCCTGCATGATGTACTCTCTGGCCCTGTGCAAAAACATGGAACAACCCTTAATATTATTGTCTCAGACAGAAAGGGAATCATAAAATTGAGTCCACGATCATGACTGTAACATATGCTGAGTCGTGGAAGTGGGTCTCTTAAGGCCTTCAATAAACTTTATCAAGAACCTCAGAGAAAGGGCAGAGTAAGTCACACTCCTGAAATTTGCTTCACCTAGGATCTATCTTTGCTGGAGCACCTGGTGGAATAATGTCTCCCTTTAACATGTTTCAGGGCACGTGACTCTAGGCAGTCCTGGAGCAAGTCAGTCTCCACAGTACTCAAAATCTGAGGGGAAGCAACACACTAAGAGATGCCCCCAGCCCAGCCTTTGTCTGTGGCACAGGGATCACCTACCAAATAACCCCGTATTTTTCTTTCAAAAGACAAGGAAAGCCGTGAATCACAGACAAGCGCCTCTCCAAACATAACGATGAGCTTGGTGGATACAATCACTCTGATGATGAAGGAGCCAGATGTTAAGAATGAGGCAGCAAAACTTTAACCAAATATCAGCAATAAAACCCATCACTGATTTCATCAACACATGATTCCTGAAAACCAAAGTGACCTTGACACTCACCATTCCCCCAGTAGCTTGTACTATATGGAGTGCTTTAGAAAATAATCAAGAATGAACAACTTTCATAAGAAGAGTACCATTCCCTTCAGATTCCTCCAAGTGTGAGAAATAGCACTGTCGGCCTGCGTAGCTCTGAGCATCATAAAAATGCCGCACTCCTCACACCCTCTGGCCACTGCCCACTGCCTCCTGTTCCTGCAGGCATGTGCATTGCTAAGGATGAGGAGCAACAAGAAGAAACGGAGGGGCCGGCACTGTGGTGTAGCAGGCAAAGCCTCCAGCTGCAGTGTCGGCATCCCATATCCGTGTGGTATGAGTCCTGGCTGCTTCACTTCAGATCCACTCCCTGTTGATGCACCTGGGAGGGCAGCAGGGGATGGCCCAAGTACGTGAGCTCCTGTACCCAGGTGGGAGACCCAGAAGAGGCTCCTAGATTTGGCCTGGCCCAGCTCCAGCTGTTGTGGCCATTTGGGGAGTGAGCCAGTGGACAGAAGATCGCTCTGTCTCTCTCTCCTTCTCTCTGTTATCTCTGCCTTCCTAAAGTAAAAAAAAAAATCTTTTTTAAAAGAGAGAGAGAGAAGGAAGGAGGGAGTGTGGTAGTCTTGAGAAGCAAGGGTGGGGAGACTGATTTTTGCAGGCTTGACTTTGTGGGAGTCATGATTTGCCAAAAACACTTGCAAGTTTGATTGAAGAAAATAATTTCACACAGGAAGATACTCTCCTCGTTGCCTGCAGGCACGACCTCCCCTGTTCCTAGGCTTCCTCAGCAGAAACTTCTGGGTCACAAAGCTCTGCATTTATCCTCTCATTTTATCCTCATCCCAACCTACACAGTAGCTACTCCTATGACTTGTCCTTTATGTCAGGAGCTGGAACTGAGAGAGGGAGTAAGCAAATGTCCAGGGAACAGAGCAGAAGCTTTAAGGGTCAGTCACTGTGTGGAGCGGACTCTGGGAGCGGTCACTGCCCTAAAGAGATTTTGTGTTTCTTTCTGCTGCTATATAAGTTCCTGAGACCCTGTTTGATGAGGACTAAGCAACAGACGGTGACGCCCTTTAGACAAAGTCTCATACAGCTCCTAGCAAGACCACGCCCTCCACCCCTCCCTCGCCACCACCATCCCCCTCCTCTCCTGGGAAGCTTTGCAGATTTTTCTGCTAACACACCATAGGAGTCTGACACAACCCAACCTCAGAGCTGAGAGACTTTTTTTTTTTTGTCTTGTGTTTCAGGAAAAATGAAGAGAAAAGGCAAAAAAAAAAAAAAAAAAAAAAAAAAGTGAACAGCCTGGTAATCCTTTTAGCGTTCATTGAAGCGATCGATTCAGAGTTGGTTTGACACCGTTTCCTAAATCGTCAGGCGATAATTTTCCTCCACGGGACAGAATTGTCAGTCAGATGAGAAACCAATGCGACAGCTCCTCCAGAATCTGCAGAAAACCTCCACCAACAAACTGAGGACAGTGTTGCAAAGTAAAATAAAATAATAACTAGCATTTGTTATGGCTCACCATATGTCAAGCTTTCTGCTGAGTGACTATAAATACACAATCGTACTCGATGATCATAGCCCAGTGAGGCAGGAATTATTATTATCCTCATTCAGCAGGTAAGGGAGACGAAGCTCAGAAGGATTCAATGATTTGCCCACTTTGTTGATGGCATAGCTAGATTTGACTCGAAGCCTTTGTGAGCTCACAGACGACTAGTAGCACACTGCACTACTAACACAGACTGCTAATCACTCTATACCAAGCTCAGCTTACATTTCCGTCAAAGACCGGAGAGTTCACGTGTTTATCATCACGGGGCATCTGTGACCACTCTGCAGTTGGGGCACAAATCTGCCCAGCCCTGCTGTTGTAGCACAAAAGCAGCCATAGACAAAAGCTGAACAGACAGACATGGCTGCGTGACAAGGAAACTTCATTTACAAAAACAGCAACTAATGAGGGTTAGGCCCAAGGCCACAGCGTGCCAACCTTGTTCCTTCAGAGTGGGAAGAGCTGAGCTGAATCTGTGAAGGACACAGAAGGTTTAAACAGGTTGAAGAGAGGAAGGAGAGAAAAGTGGGGAAAAGAACAGAAGTAGCAGTCGGGCCAGGGCATGCACCTGCCATGGTAGCCTCACCTGGAAAAGGGATTCCCTCCTCTCTGCTTGTCCAGCCCTCTCTCCACTACGAATTTACCACTCTGGTAAAAGCTACATCCTCTCTAAATGAGATCCTGGTTTCTTCTCGGGCCTCTCTTCTGGCCTATACGTGGTTCTCACCGGTTTCTAACTAGTCCGTGTCCAGGCTGGGATGGCCCACTGAAAGCAAGGATTCAAGGCCCTGAGCTCAGCAGGCAGGAGCACAGGGAGCTTAGCAAAGCCCTAGAAAGGTGTCCAGGAAGCTTCTGGGCTTCTGTACGCCCCCTACTGCTCTCACTCTTTTTTAAACCAGCAGCCCGGCTGCTTTTTATCTTGAGTGCCAAAATGCATCTGGAATGAGGCATAATCCTCCCACTTCCAGCAGCTTCACTCAGTGTAATGTCACAGGTAAATGTATCAGACCCAGTAGATGTTCTACTTATGGTAATTGCTCTGAAATGTTACCAACGCTTCTCAAAATATAGGTGTCGTCTCGGAGCATGTGATGAGAGAGTGAGCTGTGCCTCTTCTCCCTCTCTTCATCCTGGACTCTCTCACATAACAAAATCCCTCCAGCAGGTAACGAGTGCCTGTTTTCTCAGTTTATTCAAGTGAAAGCGTATCAGCGTCTCAGGGTTCAGGCCTCCCTGTCTGATCTCACTGATGCAACCCATGTAATTTTTATCATTGCCTGTATTAATGGGCAGTATGGGTTTCCCCCAAAGCCTCTGAAAAGTACTCCGTCTGTCATACTCACGTCTGGCTGCTTGGTTTTCTGACAGAGACAGATTGGAGAGTGGGCGGTGATTCAGTGTGGAGTACTCCCTTCCTGTCTGAAGGTGATGAGTATATTTCAACCTCAACCGATTCCGTAATAAGAAATCACATTGCTGATTTTCCAATATCTACCTCCTGGACGAGTAATAAAGCCCACCCATGGGCTGGTCTGTCGTTCCTCCTCCTTCAAAGTTCCCTCCTCCCTCACCCAGCAAAGGATGGAATGACACCAGCTACAGAATCAGGGGAAAGCTGTCCACTCTGGGAGGTCTGACAACCTCAGGGAACTCGCCTCCCAGTGAGCAGGACAGGTGGCATAGTCGCCAGGATTTGGGGCTTGCTTCTAGGGCACTTCACTCACTTCACAGCTTTTATGAGACCTGTTCTACCCGCCAGTTAGAGAGCTGAGGATACAACAATGTGCAGAGGAGATGACAGCCCGTGCCTTTGGGAAACAATAAATCTACTCAGGAAAAAAATGTGGATTACCCAAATTGCACAAATACGTGTAAGAATCCCAACTATGATCAGTGACCTGGTGGGGTACATGGTCCTGTGAGCATGATGACAGCATAAAGCAGACCCAGCCAGAGGGTTTTCCGAGAGGCTTGGGACTCCCAGGGCTGCTTCCGCTCATTCAGAGTTTGCTGAAAAGTTGCTTGCTCGGAGAGGACCTCTGGGACCCCTGAAGTCGCCCTGCCTCACCCCACCCCTCCTTACTTCCTGCCACTCACTCTGCACCCCTTGCCTGAATTACCCTCCATGTCTATTTGCCCCCCTTTCCAAGAAACCATAAGGTCCAAGAGAGAAAGAACTTTGTCACTCTTTTGTTCTAGAACAGTGCTTAGCACATAGTAGGCACTCAGCAGGTATGTGTTGCATGAATGCCTGATTGTGCTGCTTTCTAAATGTCCTCTTGGGTGGTAGTCAGAGGGAGTGCAAGAGGACTGGGACCCTAGATGGGGGGAACATTCGGCAGTGGGTGGGCGTCACGGCCCCACAGGAGATAGCTGGAGCAGAAGGGTGGATGTGGTGGGCACGTGAGGAATGCTGGGCTGACAGGGAGCTAGTCAGATTCGCCTGGGAAGAGACCACTAAGGCGGCAGACCAGAGTGCACCAGGATGGACCAGATGGGCACAGCTGCCCATTGGAAAGCCACTGCAGAGTGGAGGGAGAGGCCAGCCTGGCCTACAGGATACAAACCAAGAGGTTCAAGGTCTGTTTGGGAGGTAAAGCCCACAAGTCAAGGTGCAGGTTGTTTATGGACACTCTGAGAATGCCTCCCAGGTTGCAGTCTTAGAACTGCCAGAGGCACCGTGGCCCCCACTTTCCTGTGGCCTCAGCTCCCTGTGGCAAATGAGAAGCTGAGATGCTTGGAAATCCTGGCTTACATTTGGTGCACTAATCCCAAACACACAGCCTTACCAAGAGGTATTTTGGTTCCATCCCATCCACCTCTTTTCATTGCTACTTTTCCACCAAATCTTAGGTCTCCTGGAATTCTCGAGTTTTTACTTTCCACCAAAATTACAATTCTCTTGCTTTTTCCAGGACTGATCTAAAACAAAAGCAGCAAAACACTGGGGGAGGGGCTGTTCCTCACCTACCCAGAGAGAGTGGTGCTGCCTGTAATGGAGTCTCACCCCCAGGACCCACCATGAGACTACAATTTCATTCATATTTTATGTTCTATCGGCAACCTAGCCAGTAAATGTAATCCATCTTTGAAACCCACTGAGAGCCCACACAATATCAAATATACAGGGCTTTGTACAATTTTGAAATACAGGTGTGTCTGGCTGGAAGTAAAATTTCCAGGAAAAAAAAACTTTGTTAGTTATCCAGCCCAGCATGAGGGGAGAACATCAGTGTGTGTGTGTGTGTATGTGTGTGTTCAAAGAAGAAACCAAGCACAGACAAAGTGGAGAAGGCACCTGCTCTCCACCACACACATACAACATTTGAATCTAAACTGGAGGGAGCTCGAACCCTCCCTGGGCTGCCATCACCACTTGTGAATGTGTGTTAATGACAGAGCATTGCACTTCTCCTCCATGCACATAAGCAAAGCTGAGAGCTGTTAATAGGTTGGAAATGACATATGGATTGCTCAAGACAGATCTAGGACTGTTTTGGATACAGAGGTCAGGGGAAAGAGAACCTGGAGCACAGAACCTGTCCAGATCGTCCCTGGTGGGGACACAACACTAGGCACCAATATTCTATTCCAGACCAAGGCCAGGGGATGGACAAGGCACTAATGGGATCTCTGCTCAGCTTCAAGAGGTCTCTATCATGAGACTATAGCTGGAGACCAGTTCCCTCTGAGCTGTTCTCTGTCGGCAGGTGCTGGACCCAGCTGGAAAGGAAATCCCGAACTCCGCTCCAGCCATCAATCCAAACCATTTAGCCAGCCCCGCTCTGTGCACAGGTACCTGTGTGTCCAGTGATTTTGCAGGTGGCTTGCCACTTCCAGACTCTGAGAGGGCCTCACTGAACCGTGAATCAGCCTGCGGGCATCCACAGATTAAAGAACGTTGCTCTGTCTCTGATTGCAGATCCGGGTTGGTTCTCGGCTCTGCTGGCTACTGTGTGATATCAGGCAAGACACCTAACCTCTCCAGACGTCAGTGTTTCCATCTGCAGAATGGAGAGTTCTGCAGTGTTGGCATGGATTAAATGTGAGACTCCAAGTGAAGTGGTAAGCAGAGCACGAAGCTCACACTTTACCTGACACTGGTGTAGTGCATGTTATGTCACAGGTGTTTTCCTAAGATCTCGACAGACATTAATCTGTTTAATCTTCATGCTATTATTTTCTCTTTTAGAGATCAGGAAACTGAGGCACAGAGACAGTAAGAGATCTGGCCACTGTAATAGCTACTGGAGCTGCAACTCACACTCAATTCTGGGTGTAGAATCCATCACCTAACCACTGTATATAGTCAGCAGTCAAGAAAGTTTCTTTATTCTGATTATTTTAATCCTACCCTGCAACCAAAAGGCTTTGACACCACCCCGTAGCCACTGCTATTGCTGAAGCTGGAAGGAAGGGCTTCCCAGGTGGCCCGTTCCTTGCCTGACAGACTCAGAAATCCAGATACCCCAGAACTACTGACAACTGAGGCTGATAATTCTTTACTGTGGAGGTGTCCTGTGGATTATAGCATCCCTGGCCTCCACCCGCTGGGGGGGCACACACACATCAAGAGTGACAACCAAAATGTGTCTGCAGACATTGCCAAAGGTCCCCAGGAGATACAGCTGCCCCCCCCCCCACTTGAGAACCACTGCACGAGCCCAGCTTCAGGCACAGCGTGGCTATCTTGGGGCAGCAGAAGAGGGCCTGGGCCCTCAGTGCCCATATCAGAGGCAGGTGCCTAGGATTGTTCTCTGCACCCAACACCAAAAAAAGAATCCCCTCAAATTAAACCAAGTACCATCAGAGTACTGGATGATGCAAAGATGGGAATGCACAAATGGCATGCACCCCTCTGTTTCAGTCAGCTTTTCACCACCTGATTTATAATACCCGAGAGGATCTCCTATTTTGGCTAAGGCTTTGGAGGTTCACAGTTCAAGATTGGATGGCCCCAATAGTAAGGCAGCTGCCAGGAGCGAGGGAACCTGTGCAGGAACAATCCTGCAGCAAGCCAGGAGGCAGAGGGAGAAGTTCAGTTGAACTCGGCATACACAGCCAGTCCTCCAATAACAGGGCAGACCCCAGGGACCTAAGGACCTCACACCAGCACCCCCCTCCCCTGCCAGACACCATAATTAGATCATGTCTCCACCCTCAATCCATCAACCATTGACAGAAGGCTTTGGGGTTTGAATGCGTCTGTGAGTTCAGGGAACCAATTGCTGTTCAACCCTAACAACCTCCTTAAGTTCACAACAACAGTGTGGGCTTTCAGTCACTGCCAGCCAGACAGGAGACACGATGAGGTGGGCACAGGGCTGCTCCTGGAGCCTTCAAATCTTCCAATCGGCTGTCACCGGCTCCCCCACAGGCCGGTCTCAAGCCACCCATCAGCTAAGCTAATCAAGTGCAGAGAGAAATGGCGAGAGACTCATCAAGAGACTTTCCAGGCTGAGTTTCCCTACTGGGGACTTCCCTGGGGTGCTTCACAGGACTTGGGCGGGATGGGACCACAGTTCTCTATCTACCAAGGGAACAGATCTGCCTCCCCCCCTCACCCCTTCCCCTCATTCCAGTCACCCCATCCCTGCACCAACTGACTGCTCCAAGTTCAGGATCATATGATTTGTGGTGGCAAATCCACCTCTTCCACATGTTCTCTGTTCCCACTGGCCATAGCTGAAGAAGCAAACTTAACCACAAACCTCCCATCTGTGAAGCCCTTCCAAACTCTCAAAGTCCCAAGATCACCCAAGAATAAGAGGAGTACGAAGGCGGAAAAACAATCACAAATACTAAATAAGTAAATGTCCATAGAACTTGAATGACCTCTAAATGTTGTGTCTGAATTTTAGGTCTGTTCTCCATTCGCAATGCCTTCTCAGTATACAATTACATTTTAAATAGATAATCCTCTGTAGAACAGTTCTTATGTAAACAGCCAGTAATTTTGATGTATTAGAATTAAAAGAAATTTCCTAAGGCCAAATTCTGCCATATTTTAAGAAATGTGCCTTGGTTATTCCAGGAATAATTTTGCTTCAGGGACCCAATTAAAGTTATCAAAACTGTAGTTTCTTCTGGATGCTAAAGATGCAATATATTTCACACATGCTTCTACAGGTTATTATTTTCAGGGATTGCATTTTACAGATTTAAAAAAAAAAATCTTCAACCGAGGGGAAGAGTTTCAGAAGATCACATAATTCTAAGCTGCAAACAAGAAGCACAAAGCTCTGCAATCATGAAGCCTGCAGTGAAAGAGCGCGGGCTGCTCAGACAGTCGAAATCGGTTTGCTGGCTGGGATTTTCAATGCTTTTAAGTTTAAGATGCGCTAAGCACAGTTCAGGCGAGGCATAATCAAGAAATGGTTGTTTGTTTCGGCTGCTGCAAAATTACGGGGTGTCCCATGTGGGCTGGCATCTTGTGCATTTGTACATACAGCAATTACCCTGCGAGATTCCTGACGCTCCCTGCTTTCCCTGGGAAGAAAGGGAAAGAATGACAGGGACAGCTGACAGCGGGCTTTCAAATGTCTCAGTCCTCGCAGCCGCAACCGTTAAAAGTATGGGCCAGGCAGAGCCGCCACAGAGTGGGAGAGGCAAGGGGAGGGTGGGGTTACGTGACAAACGGAGCAGGCCAATAAAAACAGTTCTGTTTGCGAGATCTGTCAAAATATTTGTCAGCCTGGTAACTGGGGAGTCGTGGACACGTTTCAGTTAGCTGGGTATTGCAGTTGCAAACAAGATGTCAGCAGCCTGACCTTTATCCTTGCATAACGAGGAAAGAATTTGTCTGTCACACCATGATTTCTGTTATATGGCTTCGAATAGCAAGAGAGGGAGAGAAGTGGGGGGCAGGGGACGGGGGACAGAGGAAGCGGGAGAGAAGGAACACATTTGTCAGTTTGCCTGCTGAAATAGCACCCAGTCACCGTGTTTGATGTGGTCCCATGGGCAGGACCCTGATCTAGCCATACTAGAAGGCATAATGGTCCACGGGAGCACTGGGAGCCCAGGGGCCCCTCTAGATCTGTGATTACAAGTGCTAAGGATTCCAGATATCTTCCTTCTTTTTTTGTTTGTTTTAACTTTACTTAGGTTACACAAGTTCCGTGTGTTTCATGTATACAGATTTAGGAACAGTGATTCTTCCCACCCTGCCCTCCCTCCAGCCCTTGTTCCCACCCTTCCTCCTCTTCCCTTTCCTACTCCCACTCTTAATTTTTACAAAGATCTATTTTCAGTTTACTTAATGACCATAAGGTTAACCCTACACTAAGTAAAGAGTTTAACAAATACTATGAAGAAAAAAACACTGTTCCTCAACAGAAGAGACAAGGGCTCTAAACAGTCACTGAATCTAAAATTTCCATTTCACTCCTCAACTTTACATTGTAGGTACTCTACAGTGAAAACATGACCAGATATCTTCTTTCAGAAACAATTTTGATTTTATTTTCTTTTTCCAATTGTGTGGCACAAGGGCCAGCACATGCTTCCTGTGAAGCACCAGGGTGACTTCCCCTGGCTCCTGGGACCACACAGCCCGACAGCTACAGCTTCAGACGAGGTGTCCTGACTGTGATGCACACAGCTGTGTTCCCAGATGCCTCCATCCACAACAACAGGCATCCAGCTGCAATCAGCCGGGGGAATACAGTTGGTTGATTCCAGCCTGGTGGCTATGCCAGCTCTACACACCTTCATAGCTTCAGGGATGCTACTGGCTATCCAAGGTGTGGGGAGACTCTGTCAATGTGACAACCATGAAATCTCGCACATGGGGTCAGGTATTCGGCCTAGCAGGACAACATGTGACTATGGTTGTGACATCTCCCCATTCCTATTCCAGTTCCTGATTCTATTCCCAATTCTAGCTTCTTGCTGGGGTACATCCTGGGAGGCAAGTAATGGCTCAAACACATTGGTCCTTGCCACCTACGTGGGAGGCCTGGATGGAGTCCCTGGCTCCCAGCTTCACCCTGGTCCAATCAAGACCTGGGCAGGCATTTGGGGAGTGAGCCAGGGGATGGGAGCACTGTCTCTTTACCTCTGAAATAAATATTTTTAAATAGTCCATTGTGAATACTTACAACTTTACACGGCTTTGGTGTCCATATTGACTATAGTTGAACTGTCTCATATTAGAGGCAGGCTTCAAACATCCTCAACATTTCTAGTTCCCTGTCTGCTCCCAGGGTCCTGATACAGTTGATCCATAGCCTGGCCTGATACAACTGCCTCCTGGGGACAACCTCCCTGCAGGACAGCAGGATGAGCCACCAGTGATGCACCCCACACGCAGTGCAGATGGCCACAGTGACCCCTCGCATACAGCATGACCTAGAGCATGCTCTAACCCTCAAACACAGCTCCCTCGAAGGTGGGCGTTTGCTGCAGCAGCTAAGATTTCCAAGTCCCTGGGCTCAAGTCCCAGCTCTGCTCCAGCTCAAGTTCTTGGGTTTCTGTCACCAACCACATGGGAAACCTGCATTGAATTCCCAGCTCTCAACTTCAGTCCAGCCTGGATTATGGATATCTGGGCTGTGAACCAGCAGCTTGCTCTCTCCCTGTCCCCATAACATACACACCACACACGGACACACACACACACACACACACCCCTCCACAGGAAACCTATTTGGTTAATGCCCTGGATTCAAAAGTCTTAAGCCCTCAGGTCTCTCTGATCCTCCCCATCCTCAACACACACCAGTGGGTGGAGTCTCCTGTCCCACTCCTGACCTCTCTGGGATCTCCAATTCATCTCTCCTGTTTCCTGCATTTTGGCTTCACCTCCTCGGTGTGTCCCACCTGACACCCTGACACCCACACCCACATCTCACGTCCCCTGGCCAAGGCTCCCCTGGGAAGCAGCTTTCTGAGCTTTTGGCCATTCTCAACAGAGAGGCCTCAACACTAACTTAGAAAGAAACCGCAACAAAAATCACGATGTAGGGAAAGCCCTATCACATACTAAGGGCTTTTTTTTTATTTATTTAATAAATGTGAATTTACAAAGTGCAACTTTTGCATTGTTGTGGCTTCCCCCCCACCAACCTCCCTCCCTCCCGCAGCCCTCCCCTCTCCCACTCCCTCTCCCATCCCACTCTTCATCGAGTTTCATTTTCAATTATCTTTATATACAGAAGATCAACTTAGTCTACACTAAGCAAAGATTTCAACAGACTGAATCCACACAACCGCACAGATATAGAGTGCTGTTCGACTAGTAGTGTTGTCTTTAACTCTCACAGTAAAACACATTAAGGACAGAGATGCTACATGGGGAGCATATGCCCAGTGACTCCCGTTGTTGATTTAACAATTGGCACTCTTATTTATGACGTCAGCAATCACCCGAGACTCTTGCCATGAGTTGTCGAGGCTATGGAAGCCCCTTGAGTTCACCAACTCTGAACTTGTTTAGTCAAGGACATATCACAGTGGAAGTTCCTTCCTCCCTTCAGAGGAAGGCGCCTCCTTCTTTGATGGCCTGTTCTTTCTGCCGGGGTCTTATTCACCAAGATCTTTCACTTAGGTTGTTTTTGCCACCATGTCTTGGCTTTCCATGCCTGTGAGACTCTCATGGACCTTTTAGCCAGATCTGAATGCCCCAAGGGTTGATTCTGAGGCTGGAGTGCTGTTTAGGGCATTTGCCATTCTATGAGTCTGCTGTGTGTCCTGCTTCCCCGGCAGGATCATTCTCTCCCTTTTATTTCTATCCTTCATTATTTGCAGACACTGGTCTTATTTGTGAAATCTCTTCGACACTTACCCTATCTTTTTGATCAGTTATGTACTTATACTTATCACTTTAACAAGTGCGCTGGCATTGGTACATGCCTCCTTGATAAGACTGAGTTGGAATCCCCTGGCACATTTCTAGCTCTACCATTGGAGGTGAGTCCAAGTGAGCATGTGCCGACCTGTGTATCTCCTCCCTCTCTTATTCCCACTTTTATATTTAACAGAGATCACTTTTCTGTTAATTTTAAACGCCTAAGAATAATTGTGTATTAATTACAGAGTTCAACCGGTGGTACTAAGTAGAACAAAAAGAACAACAACAACAAAAATACTAAAAGGAATAAAGTAGTAAGTTGTTCCTCAACAGTCAAGACAAGGGCTGATCAAATCATTGTTTCTCATACACTCAGGGCTTTCTCCCGTCTCGAGGATGCTGTCTTCCCTCCTCACCCATTCTCAAATCCGTATCTAGAACAGGCGCTTTGAGGCTAATATGGCAACATTGCTGGAAGTGACCCAGAGCAGGAGGTCAGCAGCCCCGGCCGCTACCACAGCAGGAATCTGTTGAGGCACCAAGAGCAAGCAGAGCTGCTTCTCACCAAGCGATCCGCCTCCAACCCCAGGTCTCCCCAGCCAGTCCCAGCTCTCGCTGCAGCCCCCAGAGGTCACCCAGTAGGAATCCAGACCCCATGTCATGGCTGAAAGTGCACCCTTTGTGCATTGGAGGGGTGAGGTTTATTTATTTATTTAAGCATCACTTTTCTATAAACCAAAATCTCTCTGGACCTCCAGTGCTTCCTAGAAAAGCTGGCTTTCTGTCTGTTACAAAAAGCCACTCTCCCTCACCCATGTTGCTTCTAGCACGATTGCTAGTCTCACGTTTAATTCATTAGTTTGTTCAAAGGTCCTGAGTCATGTGAGTGAATTCACAGTATGATTCTTCCCAACACTATGCTTTGAAACAATGTGTTAATGTAACCTCTAATTAATACCAGTTGGTAAAGCTGAAAGACTTTTTAAACCCCAGCTATGAACTTGGCACAGAGGCGATCCCAGAGCTCAGCATTCTTTCCCTTCACCCATCGCAGCCCTCATCATCAGACCCCCACAAACCCCAACACCTGGTTCTTCTCCCTTCCCACCCTGCCTGGGAAGGCCCAGAGCCTCCAGCATTCCATGAGCTGAGGATGACCTCAGTTAAGACCCTAGACCTGTCATTCAGCCTCGGCCCAATCCCCACAGCCAACACGGCCGCGTTCCATGCAGAAGTAATGAACAGAAAAGGCTTTGCTCCTAGAACCAGGTGAGCAAGGGTTTTTAAGAGGCTGAAGGAAGCTTTTCTAGCCCTGGTAAAGCAATTTAAATAACAAGGGGTCAGGATTAGCCCTTTATAGAATCAAGGTGGGAAAAAAAATCCACGGAGCCAGCGAAATGAGAAAGGTAGATGAGGATTCATTCTCTCACAACAGATCCATTTCCCATCTTGCTAAGCACACACAGCCATAATTATATTGCTTTCCGCGGACTTGTACACACACTTCTCCCTGCCATAAACACACAAGCACCTCCATAGATGAAAACCGATTTTAATATAGAAACCTCCGTATCTATAATTCATGCTCTTTAGCCTTTACATATTTATTCTGCATTTTAATTAAGGCCAAAATCTGAATACTTTAGATGGATGGTTTCTTTTTTTCTTCTCTGCATAGCTTATAGGTAAATTACCTGGCAGAAGCCCAAATGTTAAGCAAACACAATAGAGCCTGTGCGTGGAGTGAGCTATTATTGGACAACCAGCCCAGGGGGACTTGGAAAGCACTCCCCAGCCACTGGGAGTCTGGCAGGACTTGTCCCTGCTGCAGCTGCCAGGGCAGGAAAGAAGACACCAGAATTTGGACATTACCAGCCC